TATCCCATCATCTCTGATCCTACTAGAGACATCATCAAGCAACTCAACATGGTAGACCCCGCTGAGAAAGACCCCAAGGGCTCCCAACTCCCCTCCAGGGCTCTTCATATTGTGGGCCCAGAAAACACGGTGACCCTTTTCTCTCCCCACAATTTGCACTTTTTTTCAAGACATCAGGCAAAATTACAATACAACGCACTCACACACTTCTTTTGGGTAAAATGTTCACGTGGGGTTAATGTGTTGCAGATAAAGCTGAGTTTTTTGTACCCTGCGACTACTGGAAGGAACATGGACGAGGTGGTGAGGGTGTTGGATTCTCTGCAGAGGGCCTCCAAGCATAAAGTGGCGACCCCAGTCGACTGGAAACCTGGGGAACCCGTAGTGATTTCGCCAGGCGTGAATAATGAGGAAGCCAAGGCCATGTTCCCTCAGGGTTTTCAGACGGTGGACCTTCCGTCAAAGAAGGAGTATCTGCGTTTCACTCAAGTTTCTTGATGAGCCTTTCCTCTTCGGCTACCTGTTTGAGATATAAAAAAAGTCTAATCTCAGAAGAAATAGCAATGTTTTGCGCTTCCTTTTCTCTTGTTGTCTTTGTACATGCGTGTCTCTCTCGTTTTGACAAGTATGTCGACTCCATGTCCTGAGTCCTCAGTTTCTATGCTGTGAAAATATCCTGTATCTAGTAAGTAAAACTCGTTTCTTCTTTCTACTACTGCCAAGTCCTGTATGATTTCCGCCCCTAATCAGAATTTTCTTTGTTCTATTCGTTTCATTGAGCTATTTTTCACGCAAAGGGGTTTTTTCCCCCTAAAAAAAACTTGTTAGGCATAACCGAGTATTTATGCATTATCGGATGGTTAGATGATAACTAAAACCGAAGTCCTAAGCAGGCCCAAATATGGCTTTCCAACCGCCACCTTCAATATTCGACGTTGCCGTCCTCCCAAACTGCTCTTGTGGTTCCTTTTTGGTGAACAACTGAAGCGAGCATTGGTAGAATCAGATTTTTTTTTTCTTTTTTTTTGACAAAAAAAAACTCCTTTTTCACGACAAAAGGATTCCAAGTGTATGGTGTAGAATTGTTATACTACCTTAACCGTATGGCTAATAAAACTACATCAGGTTTTCATAATATTCACTAGGTTGTCAAAATACTAAGCGTTACCCTGCGAACCTTTTCCTGAAAGCACCCGATAACCTTATTCATTGTAATGCAAATTACAAGAAGATGATGCCAATATTAATGAAAACTCACTATCCAAACAAAGCTTTTCTGTAAAGCAAAACATAAAGTCATAGATAGACCTGCTTTAATCTCATTCGATGTTTCTAATGGACAAATCTAACATACACGGAAATTCCTGTTCAGATTTGACGAGCTAAATCCTATGAGAAAACCTTTTATAAGCAAAATATGTAGAACCTCAATGGCTAGATGGCTTGCACCCTACGCAACAAGTTAAACACACTGGGATGGGAAAGCTTGAATTCAGCAAGATAACCTAACACCAACATGTTATAGTTCTAGACAGGGTTCTATCTCTTCTTCCTTCCACCTTTCCCAGATTTGTTGGAGGGTCCGGCTGATGCTGATGTTGATGCAGGTTCCTGCTTCTTTGCCCTCCCATGATGTCTGGGCACCATCTCCGCCACCCGAAGCATCAGACTTTTTCCTGCAACAATCAAAACAAAAGGTAAGAAGGCAGATTCAGATTCATCAAATTTAAGCTTCAAAGTTGGACCTTAGCACTTGCATTTTCACAATTCAATTTTTATACGAGATGCGGTTTTCGCGATTTATCAGCGCTTCAAGCTAAAAATACGTATTTAGTGCTAAGGATTAAAAAACCACAGGACGTCGTGAGAAACTTCTCCGCAGAAGGCATTCCATGATGAACAATATTTCTCGTAAACGGGGCTATCTCGTACCATAAAAAATCAACTTGCCTGATCAATTGTATCGAAACTCTTAGCACAAGTAACTATATCAACAGTGTCCAGGCCCAATATACTTAAATTATAACAATTCTATCCTTCAAGACATACTAAACCAGATTTGGCAATTAAGACTAATCCTCGTTAAATGTGTTGGCAATGTTGTGAATTTGTGATAGATCACTGCTAAAAGCTACAAATAGGGCAGCCTCTGCCAGCAGTTGAAAATGTTGTCTTCTGCTTAGGACATTCTCAGATGCTACTTAAGATACATTAAGCAGAACGCAACAACCAAAGAGATATTTGATGAAAGTGATCAAATTACAGCAATGATTCAGATTCACTCAAAGATTATATAAAAGTTCAGATATTATAAGAACAGCAAATCAGTAATAACTGCATATATGCGCTATCTTACTGGATGTAATGGAAGGATTATATAGCGTCCCATCCTCCTTTTTCAGCAATACCCGCACTCTACCCCGTTGCATAAAATCTCGTGGGTATGCCTTGTCTATCTGCAATTGTCAAGAAAAGTTTAAGTAAAACCATTACTAATAGTCCAGTTCACAGACAGCATTTGAAGGGAACGTGCAAAGGCACAAAACAATTGGAAAGAAAAGGCATAGAATTAAATGAACAAATAAGACTATGTGCATGAAGTATGACAAGATATGATAAATTTTAAAATTTCTAAGACATAAGTACTAGAGACATAAATATAGTTATGTTTATATCCAGTAAACTGAGCTTTAAACAAGTAGTTCGAAAGTAACATAAGAAATTGTTCATAACAAGCAACCAAGATGTTGGGTGATATTTTTTTTTTTTTGGAGCAATCTTTTAAACTGTCCTGGGAACATTTTCAAAACACAATATGATACATATGTCAGAATATGGTGCACATATTGCAATATAAAGTACGTGCACGGCGTCGAATGCAATCTAATACAGGTATGTGTACCTTTTTTAACTTTTGATACAACACAGGAATTTATCCAAACTAAATAAGAACACTAAATCATACAGCAACAAACCTCAATTGCAAAGGGAATTTTAAGATAGCTGCAGCAATCACCAATCTCAGCGCAAGTAGGATTCTCGCATGCCTTGCTCAGGCCAATTCTCCTTCCTTCAGCTACTGTCTTTTTCGAATTTATGTAGACAGGGTACAAAACAATCCACTTCTTTATGTTGGGTAATTCTCCTTCCATTCTTCTCATTCAAAATTTTACAAGACCATTAAGATAGGCACAAGTATGCCTAAAGGGAGCAGAAAAATCTGTGAAGAACAACCATAAATTATAATAACCTTTTTCTCTTCCTAATTGCTAAAAATATCTTCTTCTAAAAAAATCGACTTGAAATTAACTCTGTACACAATGTTCAGATCACTGCAGTCACTCATATATGGAGAACAAGGAGAAACAAACAATCTAGCGCAAACAATCAGGTAAGGAAACATGAAAATAAACAACAATGAGGATGAAATTTAATGCCTTCAGCACCAAAAAAATCCACTTTTTCAATAAAAGCAATAACTGCATACATAAAAATCAATGACGGTGTCTCTTTCAAAGAAAATTCTATGCGCACTCCCTAATTTCAGTTGTAACAAGCATTGAACGCTAATCAAGAGCCGACGAGAATTGGGCATGAAGATCGATAACCAAGGAAGATTTAGAGTAGGCAGGCAATCTAAAGAGACACAAAGCAGCGATTTGGCGCAGCCGTCAAACGGATTTTACGAGGTAGTAAAACAGAAAGGACGAAAAATGTAAAAATAACATAGGAGAACGAAGAAGAGCTGACAGCAGACCTCGATGTCGATGTCTGGTGATGAATCGCTGACGATGCCTTCGGGTTCCGGGTTCCTCAGATCGTCGACGACGGTGGAGATGCGTTTAATATCTATTTCTATTATTTGAAAAAAAATTTGATTATAATGCAGGACAAATAAAAAAAGAAAAAGTAAAGTACTACCTCCAATATTAATTATAAGACTTCATTTATATTATAAATAAAGTCTTATAATTAGAATATAATAAAAAGAGGCAATTAATGAAAAATTCCTCCTTGCAAAATTTACTTTTTCAACACAGGGTATTTCTTATTCTTTCTCAATGCCTTTATTTATAAACACAATTGTTTTAACCAAATCTACATATCTCATTGTAACAGAAGGTAATTACGTGATAATAGAAATAACAGGAGATATTGTGAAATATTGAAGATAATGAAAGAAAAACGAATATATTGTATTCATATCAACAACTTATTTTTCTGGGTATATAATATAAAAACGCTATCTTTGGGCTGGAAGGCTAACCCTGGGGCAATCTGTGTTAAATCATATGGTAAATTTTCATATGCAACATTCCTGTATTCTGAAAGGGGTAAAGCAGCAGATGGAGAAAACACAAAGAGACTTCATTTGGGATGGGAAGGATGATAAGAGAAGGATACATTTCGTTAGCTGGGATTTATTATGTGCTTCAAAGGAAAAATGAGTGTATGGGCTGAAAGATTGAAGGGTCATGAATGATGCTTTATTAAGTCGCATTGGTTGGAATTTCCTGTCAAGGCCAGAAAGTTTGTGTTCAAAAGTATTGAGAGGGAAATATAAGAGGAAGGTGAATTTAATTGAGAACTGTATACTTAAAAACTCTGATTCAAAAGTGTGGAAGGATGTTGCACAAGTTTTGCCTTGTTTAGTAAATGAAGTAAGATGGGAGGTAGGAAACGAATTGGATACAAGGTTCTGGTGTGATAGGTAGTTAGAGAATAACAGAAAGCTGGCTGATTTTTGCTTGGTGAATCTGGACAAGGCTTTGTTACAATGCAGAGTTAATGATATGGTGTTGGAGGATGGTGAGTAGGATTTAGAGAAAATGAAAAGGGAAGTTTCAGAAAGAGGGTTGGAGGTTAATTCTGACGACCCCGCTTCCAAACAGGGATTTTGGGAAAGATTTTATTAAGAGGGGGTCCTCGTTGCAAGACAAATATGATGTTTCAGATGTCTATAGATTAATAAAGAATGAGGTAAGGGAGAATGAAGCGATATGGAGGAGGATTTGGGATGGAAGGGTCCTAGGAGAGTTCAAATCTTCCTATGGACAGCAGCTTATAATAGGTTATTGACAGTTGAGAGAAGAGCTCGGATTATGGGGGTTAGTAGCATGGGTCAGCAATGCAAAGCTAATACTAAATCTCTGATGCATGTATTGAGAGACTGTGCATATGCAAAGGATCTTTGGCTATTGTTAGAAGAAAGAAGAAATGATCTGGAATTTTTTGTGTTACAAGGGAAGGATTGGCTTGATTGGGGTCCTAGTCGAAGAGATAGGAGGAAAGTTACTATGGTGTGACGTGTTAGATGTTATGGAATTGGAGAAACAAGTCACTGTTTGATGAAATATTGAGGTTCCCAGAAGATCCAAGTCTAGTTATAAACAGTTTTGCGAATTCTGTGATGAATATTATTTACCCTTCGAATGCACTGGGGCTTAGAAGAAGAAAGTGTATTTGAGTTGCGTGGCTCCTCAGGTTAGCTGGGTTAAATTGAACACTGATGGAACACGAAGAGGAAGTTTTAATTTGGCTGGGTATGGTAGTTTACTTCGTGGATCTGATGGAAGGTGGATCAAAGGCTTCTCAAGGAAGTTTGGGACATGTTCAGCCATTAAAATTGAGATCTCGGCCGTTGTTATAAGTTGGCAAAGGAAGCCGGTATCAATTATTTAGTTGTTGAATGTGATTTTTTGTCTATTGTAAATATTTTACAAAAACCAAGAGATGAGATAAATGTAATGTCTAGTATCTTAAAGGTTGTAAAGTGTAGATTAGATGATTTTGATAGGATTAAGTTTCAGCATGTTTACAGGGAAGGCAATGCTTGTGCTGATAAGCTTGTCAATTTAAGTTTTGATTTTGATGAGGTGGTTACTGTTTTTGATAGGCCATCACGTATAATCCAGAAGCTTGTGTACTTGGACTTTGTGGGAATTTTTGTCCCACGCTCAGTGAAATGATATCTTTCTTAGTTAAGACCCCGTATTCTCCCAAAAAAAAAAAGTTAATATATTTTCAAGAAAGTCTAGATTTTTTTATTTTATATATAAAAATAGAAGAGTTACCATTAAATATTACATCATAAATTTTGCAATAAAACATTCTCCTAATAATGTTACCATAAAAATGATTATATGCGTAGTTATGGAGGAGGTTTTCTCAAAGAAAACAACTACTACATGTAAGAAGACCATTCAACCCCCGAATGGACGGGGGTTAGGGTTTTGGGGGGAAAAGGCGGGGATTTTGATTAGTTGTAATTCGGGTGCGACTAGGAGTTTAACGCAGGCAACAAGAATGGATTCTAAGGAGTTGGAGCAAAAGATTAAAGAGGTGAGATTGGAGGAAGATGCTGCGAGCACTTCGCAATTTCGGAGAGAGGATCATGGGGCCAAGCATGATGCTGGTTTGCAGATCACTTGCTTTTCTGAAGTCCTCAACGATGTCACCTTCCATTTTCAGATCATTCGCTTCCCCAAACAGGTATCTGATCCCTCTATCTAAATTTAATGTTTATCAGGGCTGTGTAGAGTTTATCTTTAACTTTTCCTTACGGGGTTCAGTTGACAATCAAATATTATGTTCCAATTACCATTTCACTGGTGCACGTATAGAAGGGTTTTGAGTGTGCAATTTTGAAAATTTTGCCTCTTCTGTTTATGCTCATAGAGTTATAGACTTTCTTGATTTTTTCTCTGGAAGAGTTTTTCTTTGGGTATTTGCTTTTGATGTCCGGTTCTTGTGGTGATTTGCAATTCAAATCAGAAAAATTGGAAACCAATACAAATTGGATAAAATGAGTATGAGTGGATTGGAATTTAAACTTTCCACTGTATATTTTGTAAAACTGTCAGATTTTTGGTGTCTAATTACGAAGAACTGTGGTAGCCTCGGTCTTCCATTGTATTGAATGAGGGGAATTTCAGGCCAAAAGAAAGGCGGAAAATACTTAATAATCCTGGGAATCTTCTCTCCTTACAAATAGGCAGTGGAGACTTTCTAGGCTCCTTTTGGAATCAATGATTCAATGCAAGCAAGGAAAATTAGGTGGGAGAAATCAAAACTGACCACATTCATACAAGATACATGCTATAATACATATCGTAATGACGTATTTTCGTTCATTCTTCTGTTCCTAAATTGAGCCTTAAAGCCCTTATTTACTTCTACTTTTTCGTTCTTTTTTGCAATGTTCACTGGGTATTGAAAATTTTGAATGCATCGACAACCTTCCATTATAACCTTAGTTTGATGAGGATAAGTTTATAATCCAAATATTCCATAATTGAGTAATTTCATCTCCAGTTTTGGACAGGTTAATCTTACTGCGTTTATTAACATCATTTTCTTCATGGTCAATTGGTCATTCCCTTCACACGCTCATTAGTTTTTTTTTTTTTTTTTAAACCGGATAGCAGAATCTTTATTTCTAGTTTTTCTTCAAACTTTTCCAAAGAACTTATTTTATTCGGTGAATTTTACCTCTTTCCTTTTTATTGGCCCTGAGGTGAATTTTCTCTTTTCTAAACTATTTGGCTAGTAGTTCTTCCTGTTTTATGTTGCAACTTTTCACATTTGAAATAGGAGGTTAGTAGCTGCAGTTCCCAAATAATTTCCACCCTCACTGACGGTGACAACTAAGATTAATACTTCTGACAAATTGGACTATATATCTGAAGTAGTAGTAAAATTTTGCGCACCTTGTACTTTGCATAGGGCCATTATGTTTTCATTGCTTTGACTTTTGTGTCATTCTCTTGATTTTAATGGTTGCCGTAGATTTATGTGTGGATTGGTTACAACTCTGCCAAATTTGGTCACATGTATGCGGCTGCACCAACTCGGCCTGTGAGAATTCTTCTTCTTTTGGGCTTGTATAGTAGTCGTATTTAGTATTTTAATATCATAGATCTTGAAACGTTCTGGTAAATACAGAACAATATGATATCCGCGACTTCCATACTTGGTGGAGCTTCTGATAATACAGGATCAGGCATTGCCCGGCGATTAGGTAACTAAGGTCGTGTTTGATAGATCAAAGTTTCTTCCATTGGTTTATGAGCTAACATTATTTATTTTTGCAGTATTAAAGACTGGCCTCAATATAATTTTGGCCTGCGACATTCCGAAAAATAATCCGATGCTTGAGGTTTGAATCTTTGTTTACCCGCTCTTTCTCAAATGCGTGCACACACAGTGAAGTGATCACCCTTGTAAAAACGATGCGGTTCTATTACATATTGCTTACCGGCATTGTGAGACGGTTCTGAGCTACATGTTCATGCATATTTAGCGTTTAAGTGTCATGTTGCTATAAAACTAGTATTTTTTTATCGCAACTTTTATGGGTTTTTTCAGGCAGATGCCGAGAAACTATTGATACAGAAGATCATAAGCCTAGGTTACACCAAGTCAAGAATGGAAGGGAAATCCTTGTAGTATACGCTGCGGTGACGAGTTGGGTTTAGTAAGCATTCATCCCAAAGATTGGGCAGCGTTTTCATGCATACTTTTAGTTCCGAAAACAATACTGAAGCGATGGATAGTGTTATGGTTTTCTCTTTAGTCTCAATTCCCCCCCCCCCCCCAAAAAAAAAGAAAAATTTGGAGCTAATAGCCCCAAGACATTCGGCAGTGGCAACTAATTTGTCACTTACCCATTGGATTTGAACTTTTTTGCTGCAACTAATTTCACTGGGTTGTTTTCTTGAAAATACAGTTATCTAATCGTTAGGTGTCCTGCAAAGAGGATAGCTGACTTTGAATTCTATGCCAATGTATGAGATTTATTATGATTAACCATACATAGTATTCCTTTAATAATATGGCTCGCCTAGGACAATGCAGATTTACTCTATTGACTATTAATCAATAACGTCTTTAATTATATGGCTTACCTAGCACATGCAACTAGCATGTGAAGTATTGACCTTGAGGCATGCGAAGGACGCGGCGCACTTCTTGAGTTATTAAAATTCTCTTTTCCTAATTGCCACTGCGCGTAAGTTCCAACAGCAGCACTCCACTTCATGCATTTTGGTGTGGCTGTGATGGAATGTAGAGTTCTTACCATTATCATAATTGTAAATAAATTGTGAACTTCATTGAGATTACATTGAATAATAATTTACATGAGGGATTCTGGTGTCCAGTCGGACAAGTTTTTAGGTACATGTTGGCGTAGATATTTGAAATTGAATCTACATCTTGAGGACTAAACCCAAACCAAACTCCCTCACCACTAGACAACCATGTTGTAGTTTGTCAAGTCATAAGAGTTCGCTTTATTTACCAAATTGAATTCAAATACTTACAACAAGGATGACCGATCAGGCAACTAAACTAGCCAAATGTTTTCTCACTGCTGTAACACATGTAGAGAAATCCGTCATCATCCTTGTAAGCCTTGTAGACGGCATCCATGAGATTTGCTGTAATGAAGAGCCATGTAGATGACATGTTAGCACGACGAATGAAGGAAAAAAAAGACTGATGAATCTGACAAGATTTAATGAAAAGATGCATTTACCAGTCTGAGGTAATGTGTTCTTCACAAATATAAACAATGCCTTCCCAGGAGGCAAATGTAGCCTGCTACTCAATATGTGTATGAATTGCCCAATAGACATGTCTCGAGGAACCAAATATCTACAGAAGGCAATGCATAAAAGAGATCAGGCCCTCCAACACAAAGGGGTGCTTAAACATATCAATAATCCAGTACATAATTTGAAACCTACTAAATGCATCATCACCAATCTCTAATACACCCCTAAAAAAAGGTTTCAAGGGAATTAGGAGAACATGTTCTGGAATTATGGAAGAAAGAAAACTCAGGAAAAAGAAAGATCTATTTCAGATGATACTAGCAAATATTAACCTGTAGCTTTGTACATGATTGATAAATGGACTGAATTGAAGCATACGCAAGTAACTGTTATGTTAATGCAAGTTATTAATTTAGCAGAACAAATACTGTCCTCCCAGAATATAAAGTCAACCATACAGCTAGAACCTACTTCTTCTTGTCCAATTCAGGCAGGTCTGTTCTAGAATACTTCTCAATTACTACCTGCAAGACATCCCACACGAAGAAAAATCAAAAGACTGCTCAAGGGTTGCTTTCATTCATATCGCATGATAAAAGTCAGAATTGTTTGTTCCAATCGCGCCCTTTTTAAATAATCATGATGCATAATATGCAAAACTTAGATCCATTATTGAATAATATTTTACTTTCCGTTTTTAATGTCCTTAAGGAGGTTCACTCGCACCAAACACCGCCAAAGACTGCCAGCTGTTAAGATGTATAATAAAAATATAGGAGGAGGCTAGAAAGTGGGATGGAAAACGTTGAAATCAATCATTTTGGACAGCACTGCCGACACAAATTGAATGTAAAGTGCCCATGAATTTGTAAGATTCACTAAGAAAATGGATAATTGAAAGAGAGAGGCATCCTAACTTACCGGGAGAGGATTGAATATTATATTGGGAAAATGGGAATTATCGACTACCACCAAACAAGAAAACCGAAGATGAACTATTGTCCGGAAAAATACGAAGTCAATTCGCTGAACATCAAACAAGAAAAGAGTCGTGAGTTATGAAAATTCTTACAGGTACTCGATCCGGATATTTTGCCGCGATACTCTGTGACTCCTTCAGACGTTCCTCTGCACCGAAAACAAGACAAATCAAACACGTAAATAATAATGCAAGATAATTGTACAGATTCGACAGAGAAAGCAAAACAGATTGGACAAAAACAAAAACAAAAACATAAAAAACAAAGAAGAAGAAGAAATTCATATTGTAAATGAAAACTCACCGAAAGTGTACTCATCCTTGAAACACTTAATCTTCCCCATGTATACCTTCCCGAACTCGGAGAAAGATGGAAAATGAGAGAAACTAATCCAAAAACGAGAGAAAGCTTTTCCAGAGAAAAACGAGCTGAGAATTGGGAGAAACTTTGACGGGGCCGACAAACTGGATTTATAAACGGAAATGAAACACTTTTCGTTTACGAAAGCGATTTTCCGGTTGCGTCCTTCCTCAGTTTTCTGTTTGGATAAAATAAAACAGGTCCTTGAACAATACCGCACGTTAAGAACCGAACTAAAGGCCCGACGAAAGCCCGTGTGGCTGTACAGTTATGGGCCCATTGTGGGCCGACCCAATCTTCCCATGTTGGGCCTGGTACTATTTCTTCGAGCTATGAATGGGGCCTTCTTCTCCCAGTGGTGGTTGGTGGTGACTATTTTGCTCACACGATGAGCAATAGTTTAGCCGCGCGGTTAGGTGAGTTGTGACATAATAAAAATTATTTAAATGAGGTCATAATTTAGGTAGGCCCAATAAAATGGACATTATTTTTTTATTGAGCCCACTTGATGGTATGTGTTACACAGGGATCCAATAAACGAGCCCCATCTTGTTTGTCGTTTTACGTGCGTTGGTGATGCGTGGTGGGTCACAATTGACTCCTACGACATCAAGGATCTGCTCCATGGCCCACTCTCAAATTACACTGGTCACTGCAAAAATTTTGCACACAAATTTTTCATATCTAATAATAATAATTGGACAGATCATAGGTATCACGCGTAATTCAAAACGTAAATGATTTCATTTGTCTTTTAAAATTTACTGCTGAGTTTTATAGATTTTATAACAGGGAAAATTCCAGAAGAAGAATCCTAAAATTATCATTTTTCAATTCAAGCACATAGGAGTTGAAAATAATAGGAAAAAAAGTGGTGTTTAATCTAGTATTTTACGATATAGTTAAATGACTAAAATGTCTTTATATCAAAAAGTTTATTAACAAGTTTTGAATTGATAATAATAAGTGTTGAATGGCAAATAACAGGAAATTTTTTGACAATGGCAAGTTTGACAGCATTTTTCCGAATATGATACAAGGGCATTTTGGTCATTTAACTATATTTACAAAATACTGGATCAAGTACCACTTCCTTCTCTTTCATTTTCAACTCTTACATGCTCGATTTGGAATATTACATTCTCCAACTTCTTTATTTGCAATTTTCCCTTTATAATATAATGTTTATAATTTTCCAAGAAATAGATGATAAGTCATGTTGAAAACATGTGTGATAAGCGTATAATTTTGTGTAGACCTATCATATCATGATATCATCATCAAACCGTATATCTGTGGATTGGAAAATTTGTCAATAAAGTGTATAAAAAGATTTGTATGTGAACATGATTTTAATGGAAGTTTCAGGAGGCATTCCAATTTTCAATTAACTAAAACATTATTGTGGGGTTGGTGGTGTTTGGTTATATGGTTGGCTTTATTAAGCACCCATTATGCTGATATTTAATTGTCGGGATGTTTAATGCGCGTGCGCTGAGGAAATTAATAGTAGTTTCCTGTAATTATTGTTTTCCCGATTTAACGTGTGACGGTGTGAGATATCTCACGTATTTTTGCAAGGATTCTATTTCGATTAGAATAAAATTAAGAATTGGAAAACAAATTCTCATTTATAATAGTGGTTTTTAAACTAGGTCAAGGTGCCCAGTGAGATCAATGAACCAGCCAATCAGCCCCTGGTCGATTTGATAATAGTTCTGGAGATTGATCGAATAGAATTTTATATATTTTATCTCATTAATAAGCCTGGAAGGATGATACTCCTTCCGTTCCTTATTATAAGAGACATTTGATGCTTATGGCATGTTCCTATATATAAGAGACACTTAAAAGTTGTCTCTACTTTTTTGTATTGATTTCCTATTTTACCCATATTTATTGTCTCCAACTCACACTCTCTCTCCCTCCCACTTCTCTTTCTTTCTATAATTTAATTGTTCTCTCTCATGCTCTCTCTCCTTATTAATGAGGGTATTTTTGGAAAAAAAAATTATATTTTTTACACATTAATTGTTCTTAACTAATTTTAACTACTTTTTTTATCAACGTAATTCGGTTATTTGTCTCTTATAATAAGGAACGGAGGGAGTAGTATTGGCGATGTTTTATATATGAAAATTAATATATTTTTTATTTTAATAATATCATTACTTTCAAGATTATATATGAATATTTTTTATTTTTTAATTAAATTATATTATTTTTTCTGTGCTGCATAAGTTTTATCTTATTAGAAGCAATCATCTTTGAGACATTAAGAGGGTGTTTGGCATTCTCAAAATCGCGGTCTCAGAAATATTTTTCCGCAAAACGAGGTAACCTCCTCCACATATTTACTTCGTAATCCGTAAAAGCACTTCTGAAACCATAGTTTGGTTTCTATCCAAACATCTCCTAAATGTAAACACTCCTTCCAATAAGAATTTGAACCTTGACTTGTCATATTATGAAATACCAATACCCTTCCATTGGACCAAACCTCGTTGATAATTGTATTAGTTTAATTATAAGTGATTTTATCCTAGTATAATTCTAGTCGGAGTACAAACTCTTGAAGCATCGTTTCAGCTACATAAATAATCTCTCTGGATGGACTTTCATTTGACTCATTTTAAATAATCGGTTTTTTTAATAACAGAAATAATTGGTTTTCATATTATGCATAGTCAAGGATACTGAGACACAGGTTATGCGTGATCCACTATACAAGACGGCGTGAAGAATTTTGGGGAGCACCTTTCTGGCGAGAACAGCGAGAAGGAATGAGAACTGTTTCCCACTTTCCTTGCACTGTTTCGAAGATACCAAACGCCGAACAAATTGGAAGGAAAAGGTAGTTGAAACACTCCATATTTGATATAAATTTATTTTAAAAGTTTTGAGTCATAAGTACTAACTACCCGAGTTTTTTTGGGGAGATAAGTATGTCTTCAAAGTTTAAAAATATGACAAATTTACTCTTAAAGTTAAAAATATTAATAATTAATGTCACTATTTTAACCGTTACTGTTGGTTTTTTAATAATAAGAGGCAAAATTGTTACAATTTTAAATTTTTAGGACAAATTTGTAACAACAAAAAATTTTCTCATGGCCAGCTTTTCGGAGTGAAAACTTCCACGGTAAATATGCACCTTAACTTTTTTAAATATATAATCCCTTAGATACTTATTATAAGTTTCAAATAATTAATTTATAAATAATGAACAGTTAATTAAAATTAGTTAAAAGTAATAAATACGATAAAAATATATTTTTATTTTTAAATATGCCTATATAATAAATGATAAAAATAATAAAAAGGAATATGTGGTGAAATATGACAAAAAAGAGTATGAAAAATAAAAGAGAATAAATAATTAAAAATAAAATTTAAAAAATGCATTAAATATCAATTCAAATTAAAGTTTATAAACAAAATTAGAGGGGGGTGTTAAAAAAAAGGATTGGAGGGAGACGGGAAGCATTAAGGGTTTGTTTGGCAAGGCTTAATTTGGGCTTAAAAGCTGCTTTTTTTTACTTATAAGCCCGATTGGCTGAGAGGTTGTGTTTGGCTGGGCTTAAAAAAAAAGCAACTTATACACTTTAAGTTCCAAAATGTGCGGTCTGTCTTAAGCTGAATTTTGTGGCTTATTTCCTTGCCGTAGGAGCTTATTTTTTTGACCGTTGAATAGGGGGTCATTTTCACGCTGGGGCTTCTGTCATTTTTCGTTTGGCTGGTGAAGCTTTTTGCGAAGGCAAGGATTTAGGGCGCCTGGTTTCCCGAGAGCATCCGTAAGCCATATGGCCTGGCCCCACGACGTTTGAATAATGCTAATAATTAAGAAAACATCGTACTTAACTTTTCGTTTGGAAAAATAGAAAATAAAAACCCCTAATATAAAAAATTATAATTTAGAATTCTTAATTTAAAAAATAGTAAATAAAGACCTGATTTTATATTATAAATATAAAATTTTGATTAAATATCTGGAATACTTCTCAGACTGTAGGAAATGACAAATTCAATTTAGCAATATAGAATTAAATTTTTATTTGTTATTTTTCAAGTTGAGAATATCAAATCGTAATTTTATATATTAATGGGTTTTTGTTTGCTATTTTCTTTTTTTGTTTTACCCTTTTTTTGCTTTTTTTTATTTTTAATATTTTGCCCCCAAGGTATGAAAACAGCTTGCATTCTCAGCCAAAAGAAAAAATCTTTGACTTGCTAAATTATTTTTTTCTCATTTTTTATTATTTATCAAAACTCATACCTATTTTGGTCATTTTACAACTAAACTTACTTTTACTCAACAATAATCCAAACAACTTTTCACCAATCTCACTTTTGCAAACGGGCTTTTCTGAACTCCAATCTAAACACAATTCACTTAACCAATTTAACTTTTATCCCACTTCACTTATCCATAGGCTGCTTTTTCAATAAGCAACCTTTCCAATCGCTCATCCAAACGGGCACTAAATCTTGCGGTGTTGGTGCAGGCAGTAGAGTTTGCACTGTCAAACAAAAGATGATATATTATCCTGAGTCCTTAATATAAAAGTTCGTTAACTAATTTAAATAAATTAAAGAAGTTAGTTATTTGTAATAAATATGTGTTATCTTTCTTAAAATATCCTTGCCAATCAAATAGATTGGTTAAAATTATCGTTATTACAAGGGCTATCTTGAATTAGTATCTTATATTTATAACCAAAATAAAAATCAAACAAATTTAAGATCACAGATAGTATTATGAAAAAAATCATGATTTCACATGGTTGTGTACTTGTGCTTGATATATTGTAAATTAAAAGAATATTTGATAAAATATCCTATTCCCATAATCTAAAATTATATATCATATAGAGTTTGTGAGAAAAAAAAATCTTGTTGATTTGAAATGGTGCAAATGGTCAATGACTTTATTTCTTTTGCATGACTATTTAAAATATATATTCTCAAACAGGCTTATCTTATTAAATAATATTTTATTCAAGAATTCTATCTTGACCGGGCTATTTTGTTCAATTATGAAAGACATTTTTTCAAAACTTGCAGCAGTGGCATGCTCATAACGCCATCTATACGTTGGTATGATTAAATATCGGCTTCAATTCCATTCATGTATTCTA